AACGCTATTAATAGAGTCAAAAACTCTATTAATTCGCAGGAAAATACGCCAGAAGCATTAAAGTCTTTATATAAGAATCATACTCATTTTAAAGCAACAAAAAGAGGCTATTGTTCCGATCTGGCAGGATTTAAGAGAAGAGGACCTCTCTATTTCTATATTTCGACTTGATTCGAATCAGAATATAGATATAGAGGGGCCAAAGAAATCAAGAAGGGATCAAAAAAAAAGAAAACAGACTTTTTGGTATTGTGAGGAATGCCAAAAATATATCTGTAAAGAGGAAAGCTGCTAGAGTCAGGCGCATAAATAGGATTCTAGAAGAGAACATCAAGAAATATTTTCTAGAATTATTTTTGGAACTATTTAATATAATCTAGAATTAGTTAGAGTCAAAAGAAAGATTGATTAAATACTTGTATTAGATTCTTTTTTTAATTTTTTAATTTAAATACTAGTTTTTTAATTTAAACACTAGTAGTATTATATTTTATTTTATTTATTCTTATACAGAATTTTAAGAGCTATTAAATAATACTATTTTTAGCTTTATAGCAATATTAATTAGCCTTTTATTAATAATAGAAAAAGGAAATAAAAAAAGTCTAAAAACCTTATTTTCTTATAACTTGCTAATTACTTTAAAATTTTATTCTGTATTAGACTAAGTATCTTATTTATAAACTTATATCTTTAATACTAATGTAATTATTCTTAAAGTTACTTTCTAAAACTAGTACTTTTTTATCTTTTTTTTTGTTCTAAGCTAAATCTTATTATTTTAAAAATATACATAATAAAACTAAATAGAGATTTTAAAGGGCTATCTAATGATACTACTTATAGATCTTCAGCCCTAATAATTAGCCTGATGCAGCTTATTTAAGTTTTCTACTTATGATTTACTTTTAGTGTTCTTAACGCCAAGGCTATAGCCAGGTCTTAACGAATTTTGATGTTCTTAACGCCAAGGCTGCAGCACTGTGCCATAATTTTGACGTTCCTAATGCCAAGGCTGCAGAAATAACCTCACCGCTAAACGCGGGTACCTCTCAACGCTAAACCCCCAACGGCAGGAGGACCACGCAGGGATCTATTCGGACCCACAAGGGATAAGCTAAAATAGAGATTTATACTCAGATATATACATATTTCTACTAATGTAATAGGTATCTAGTAACAGTTTAACAGGAGAGATAAAAAAGAAAATAAAGGATTTCAAAGTTAAGATTTAATGTATAAATTAGTCTCTTTAGAGATGATTTCCACTATTCTCGATTTTCAACGTAATTAGCCTCAAAATGAGGAAGTTCTGTTGAAATGAGTGTGGGTGATTCATCTGCGCATTCTGACGCAGGAGCAATCACTGCCAAGGCTTGATCGACATTATTTCGATCAATCTTTTCGGGGTCAATTCTGCGCCGTTTTCGTTGGTTATTGTTTTGAGATATTTGCGGAGGTGAGTTCTCTCTATATCTAATAGGGATTTGCGTATTTCGACGTGGTCGTAGCATTAGAGGTGGTTGAAAATTCATTTCAAAAACCAGCTGCGGAGAGCTATGGCGATCAAATGCGGCTCAAAAAACTTATTTTTACGCCAAGACGCTATTAGTACCACCCGACCTCGGAGGGGATAAGCGTTGATTGCGCTCGTGTAATAGCGATGGCACAACAACGGGACTGAGTATGGGTATAGAAGACTGAGGCCCATCGAGCAGCACCGAGACAGAAGATAAGCAAGAGAGTGCGGAGAGAGCACAGTAGCATTGTAATCTAAGCTAAGGCTGAGCCGAAGTTGAGCTGGGTGACTGATTTTGAGTAGGATAGCAAAACCGGCCATCCCAACTGGGTGCCAGGGCGCGGTCCAGATTCGGGTATGAGTACTACACTACTTGAGGCAGAATCTTGATCAACAATAATAGAAGTAGATGAGTCTGTAAGCGATAAATCATCGTAAGGTTGGTATAAGGAATTGGGTCTGGCGTTCAGAGCAATTCAGCGCCACCACAGCCACTCCAGATCCAATTTCATCCGATGTTGTAGACGTCAGCCACATTCGAGCAACACCTGAACAACGACATCAGTCAAGGACGGTTGCGCATTTCATTGAACATAGGCTAGGGGCTTTTTTCTACCATCTCCCCAGCTCTGTTAAACATTACACCCGAAACTGGGTACTTCTCTGTGCAATCATCACCTTTGCTCGAGCTGTTGTGAACAAAGACAAGAGTCACAGCGAGTCGGTGTCGAAGATGAAATAATGGAAGATATTCATCGCTTCAGATACAGTCCCTTAAAATACAATGAGATTCGCCTGTTTAAGCTCGACCTCAACGAAGCTGATGCTCCTCTGTCTGGGAGCATCATTACGTTTCGACTGCCGCGCTGGGATGATTCCAGCTTGAAAAATATAGCTGGCCAATTTATCTCCTCCGACGCTTGGCACAACTCGGTGTTGATGGACAGAGATGGTAGTGGTGGCTATGATGTTCTTTCGTATGTTTGGGGTGATGCGGACAGAATTTATCCTTTGACATTGTCGGCGACAGGGAAGGTCTACACCAAGAACAGACTTGGTATTGATGATAATGTTATGGGCCATGGAACTATGAGAATTCGACACAATCTCTACACCCTCTTGCATCAACTACGTCGGACAAAGTACGATAGATGCATATGGATTGACTCCATATGTATTGATCAAGATAATCAGCCTGAAAAAGGTGCTCAGATCCCCCTTATGCGAAGCATCTACAAAGAAGCAAAGAACGTTATAGTCTGGCTTGGTGAAGCCACTCAGGCGGAAGAGGGAGCACTGACAATTCTCCCAGCAATATCTGCAAAATTGAAGAAGCAACGGCTTGATGACCTTGACTTAGATCCCGAACAGCCCGAGACTTTCAATGCGATCGGCCTCCCAGAGCCTGCTCATCCTGTCTGGCCAGCAATCGGGTCTATCATGACCCGTCCCTGGTTTCGAAGACTGTGGACGCTTCAAGAGGTAGTCTTGCAGGAGAAAGAAAGAATTGTTGTTCTCTGTGGGGAAAGGCAAATCACCTGGGAGGCATTTGCCGACTTCGGCCACGCAGCATCAAATGGCTACAGGCAGCGCATCATTAATTGGACGATCACCGGAAATCAGCTGATCGAACCCGCCGAGGCGAATGGCTACACTTCCATCCGCATGATAACCGATTGCAGGAATTTGTTCCAGCAAAGCTTGAAAACCATCCTGGGTGGGGGCGTTCCTCTTCGCCATCTTCTTCTCGCATCCCGCCAACGGGAGGCCACTAATCCAGTCGACATGATCTTTGGAATACTGGGAATGGCGGCTTACGGCCTTGGAAAAGTGCTCGATCTAAATATCTCCATGTCGCCCATCGAAGTTTACGTGACTTTCGCGAGGCATTACCTCCGCAATGAAGTCAGCGAGTGCCTCTTAAATCATGTCGCATCAAGGGACAGGCTGCCTGGTCTTCCATCTTGGTGTCCCAATTTCGGGTCGCCTGAGCAAAACTGTTCGCTTGGCTCTTTATGGTGGGACGACACCTTGATAGAAGAGACACCACACTCAAGGCGCTACTATGCCAGCCATAAGCAAGGCGTGAATCTCCCTACGCACCAATACATACTCGCCCCAATAAGAAATAGCCTCCGTCGGCGTGAACCCAGTCAAGGACTAAATGACACTCCCGACCCACGCCAACTCTCCTTACTACCCAATCCTCACCAAATTCACGCAGCAGGCGTAACGATCGATATTATCACCCAAATTGTGCCCTACAACAGCGGCATCCACACCTTCGCCACAAGCGTAGACTCTATCCGGCAAACACTTGAATGGGAGACCCTCTGCCGCTCCCTAGCCATCCACACCCTTGGCGCCTCAGATGATGCTGTTCCCGAAGCCTACTGGCGCACCCTGATCGCCAATCAAACATACGGTACCATCGGAGAAGAAAACGTGCTGTGGGATACCTACGAAAAGATCAATATGCTGCCCTACTACCACAAATGGATCGCCTACATGAACGACTCCCTCCAGCAAAACCAGCCCTTGTTTTTTCTTGGCGGCACAGAGCTTGGTGCCTTTTGGTTCTGCTTGCAAACCCTCCGGATCCTTAAGCAGCGCTGCTTTTTCGCCACTCGCGATGGAAGAATAGGGATTGGTCCGAGAACGATCGAGGTGGGGGACAAGGTTGCGGTGTTCTTCTATTGTCCTACGCCGTACATTTTGAGACGAAAGGAGGCTGACTATCAATTTGTCGGAGAGACGTATGTGCATGGCCTTATGTATAATGAAGGGATTGATATGCTCAAGAGGGGGGAGTTGGATGAGCAGATGTATGTGCTTGGCTGAATGGGATGGGATGCACTTTATCGGCGGATTGAGCCATCGAAAGTAGCGTAAGCTACATCATATGTGAGCATGTCAAACTCTTATCGAGATATGTTGTAATACCCAGCACGAGTGATGTGAATGGACTGCGAGCCTGGCTGAGCTATGATTGCTCTGACAATTCCTGGACGCCTTACTGATGCTGCCGCTGTGACCCAATGTATTACCCGCCAAATCCGCAATCATCATCAGCTAAGTACAAACGCAAAAATTGTACAAGAACATCCCTGTCAAGACCGTGCCGCAAGAAATCGCACCGTCCCACATCACGTCTTCTCGGCCTCCTCTGCAGCTTCATCGCCAGCTCGGTCTGCCTGGGCTCTAACTGTTGCTTGCGCCATCTTCAACAAACCACCGTAGTGGAGCTCTAGCCTGCCTTTCTCAACGTATCTTTTCAAAACTTCGTTCTCTCCCTCAAGGTCACGTAGGACAAGCTCGATCTCGTTTTCCCGAAATCGCTTCCTCAACGACATTGGAAAGACCTCAGCTTCTGAGATTTGAGACGGGCTGGGAAGCTTGATACTGCTTGATTCCTCAGGATGCTGCTGAACATGCTCATAGTAGGCGACCAGAGTCCTGAACAGACCGGTTTTGGTCATCTCCGCAGTGACTTCTTCGTCGTTCTTTTCTGTTGTATCATTAAGCGACATCCAGTCATCTCGAATCATCGCCCGCCGCCAGATGATGCGAGTGAGACCTTCCAACATTGACGGGTCTATTTCACCAAGTCGCAGAACCTTTAGAGCCAGCCAGAATTCGTGGCTAAGGATCTGTGGGTCGTTCTCCTCAAGGCCCTGGTATTCTACAGGATCCATCAAGGTGAGAATGTCTACAAGTCGCTGAGGACTGACGGCTTTGCGACGAAGCAGCAGACCAAGGCCATCATTCAAGAGTGCCTTGAGCGCTGGGTACTTCTTTTCTCTAACGATTCGCTTTCTAAATGTTTCCAGAGCCACTTGCCGAGCCCCTGTATCATCTATGACAGGTCCGATGGAGGGTAGTATGTGAGCTTGCAGCCCATCTTGGATTCCTAGTAGTGCTAGGCGATCATCAAACTTCTTTGTTGATATCCTCGGGTCTTTTCTCGAGGCCTTTTGTTTTGTTTCAACAGCAGCTATTCTGGTTAATTTCGCGAGACATAGCTCGGTTTTCTGCATCCACAGATTATCTACTTTCTTTGTTGCCAGAGACTCAAGTGTCTTCGCTGCACTAGAGAAATCTTCCTCGCCAACCACATCGTTGATCCAGCTGATCTTTTGGTATCCTGGATTTTGTCGCAGGAATTAAGTCAGGTAGGGCTGTTTCTTCTCATCAGCCTCTGCTTCAGCAAGTAAACTGCCCAGCTCTCCATCTATGACCATCTTGTTGAAGTAGGCTTTTGCCCAAGCGGATCCGTACTTTTCGAAATAACCTTCAGTTCGTTTTTTAATGCTTTGCAAGTCTTGCTCAAATTTCTTCACATCACGCTCTGACGGTTCAGAGCTCTCTTTTGTGCGCTCGATCAGTTGCTGTTTCGCCTCGAGATCTAAATCCATAAGGGCTTTCATGTCCTTCCAGTGTTCTGCTAGGTCAATGGCTTCATGGACAAGACCAAGTCGAGCGATCCTGTAAAAGTAATCTCGGCGACTTTGCTGACCCCACTTCAACATCTTTTTTGCTTGTTCAAGATACTTCGGGTTCTCCTCATGGTTTTGTTCCATCAGCCAAGCATGCCTTTCGGCAAACATTCGCTGGTATAGATCGAGTTCTTTTGGCATAGCATGCGCCATATGGATCACTGTCTTTCTGCTGGGTTTTCCTGCACCGCCTGTCCTAGACAGCCCCCACCATTCAAGGGTTGTGTCGTACACCAATTGCAATAAGCATTCTCCCATACGGACCGTCCTTTGCTCAATAGTCCAAGCTTCAGGAAGATCCTTGTATCCACTTTTTAGAATACCATGCTGTGGATCAAAAATCTCGTCTCCCAGGCCATACAGTGGTGCGTTGTCCTCGCGAAACCTGTAGGCAGCTTCGAATCCAGCTACCCAAAGGTCACTAGATTCGCGAATGTTCTCGACCATCTCGTACTCGCTGAGAAAATCATCCTCCTTGACCTCTTTGTGTCCCTCGTGAAAGCCAATCAAGCAGAAACTCAATCCGATATACGTCTTTGGTCAAAAAGAGTCTGACCAAATCAGTCTCCCCTTTGCTCTCGTCAGCTTCGGTCCGATAGTCGGATGCCATAAAGAAGAGCAGCTGCTCCCAATATGTTTCTTTTCTATCCTTCGGCTTTCGCCTCATGATCTCTTCTTGAACCTTCCACATGGCCTGTGCAGCCGCAAGCTTTTCTGCACCCCAGAGAAGCCTCCACTTAAGAAGTCGCGGCAGAGGCCCGTAGCGCTTTTGAAGGTGCAGTACAAGATCCTCTAAGGCTTTTGCGCGGAGCTTCAGATGTTGGTCAAGGGAAGGCGAAGCTTTCGGAATATACTTTGACGAAGAACTAAGGATCTCATGGCTTATACTGAGTGCTGCTTCCTCGATTTCCTCGCTCGAACATGTCTGCTGCTCTGTGCTGGTGAGATCAAGCGGATTGTGGCGAAGGGTGCCGTAGAATATTGCTTGCTCTATTCGACTTTTGAGAGTGATCTTCACTTCTTCCGGCTCCTCGCTAGGCCTAGCAGAGGCTGTTGATGCAACTCGAATGATGCCAAAACCTTGAACTGCCAACACACATGAGGGACTCCTATCTTGCGCTTCTTTGTCGCAGGCTCATAACTGGATTCAGGGACAGTATATTGAAATTCCGTGATCAGAGATAGCCCGCCCGTCACCTGAACGGCCCGGAGTATTATCCGACATAACCGACCTAGTTTGAGGAAAGCAATGAAGCTGCTGTCCTCATTCCTATTGGGTGCTGATGCGGTCACAATTGGCAATTTACATCCAAAGAAGAACGGAGTGAGGCTCATAGCTCTGAATGCGCAAACCTATACGTTGCCAAAATGTTTTCGTCCATTCAGTCACAGTTAAGTAGCTTGAGAATTTGTGATACGTAGAGACCAAACGTTGTGGATCTGGCGGCTTGAGGTAAAATATGCAGGAAAGGAAATTAAAAAGTGGGCTTTGACCCCGAATAAGAACCACAGAAAGTGTCGGGTTTTAGGTTGTGTTTCAGGTGGCTTATATAAGCACCATTCGATCAGTTCTGGCGAATCAAACATCTGCTATGACTTGTCTGTTGTACCAGGTTAGCCCTGAACAGCACACACAAACAGCATCTGGTCATGAAGAACAAGCCTCGTTGGCAGCCAAGACCCAGACACAGAGCGAGGCAATCGATTGTGCGCAGCCTTTGGCTGTAGTTGCCACTTTGAGAGCACGTCGATCGTGCGGTTCCCGGACGTAAACATTGTCATCTAGTAAATCCAGATCTATCTCACCGACCGCCAGATCTCAAATGCATGCGCAAGGGATGTGGAAGCTTCCTAAGACGAGTCAAATATGACCTCTCACAACGCAAGGGCCGTTACAAAATGATATGCCCGTCTCCATGAGACAGCTGCAGTCATCCGCTTTGATAAGTCTATCCAACATCAAAACCTCAAATCACCCGTCCAACAACAGAGTTCATACATCGAGCACTCTACACTCCAATACATTCGTTTGCTTGATTCAGCCGGTACATTGGAAGCAAATCGAATGTGATACAATACAAAATCAAAAATCCCTCGCGTCCATACCCCAATCTTAGGTCACGAGTATTTGACGAAATGACAATGAGCCCTGAGATCATCATTGGAATCGTCGGTTTACTTGTGGCTTTTCCGCCAACAATGTATATTGTATGGAGACTGATAGAGAAGCAGAACCTGGCTGATCTCTCGAAACGCTTTTCGCAATCCGGCAGCCCTGCCCTCGTGACCACCTGAGAGCAGCACCGCAAAGGTACCGGATATTCACCTGTGACGCCGCCGTGTGCGAAATGCGGGTTAGAGCTGTGACTCCGTGAAGATGATTGGATGGCGGGAGTGTGATTGCGCCGGCTTACCCTGCATAAACTTCCACTTGAGAAACTGTGCGGGTTTGAAGCCATCGTCCAAGATAACGAGGTCAGAGCAGTGAAGTGGATCTCGACACAGCCCCCGCGAGGCATTTCACCTATTGGCTCTATCAGGCGCCTGTACGGGCTCCTGACCGCTCGAGACTTGAATTCCGACAATTGGAGAAAACGAGCAAGACAAATCTCGAGGCGGCCTCGTTGAGATCTTTTCCCCATTGGCTCCATTGCATCCTCAGCTGGACCGGTGTGATGGCGCTCTTCACTTCGGCAAGGCAGGCTCCAACATTCGAGCGGCTTCCAATTGGACATGAAGGCATTCTCGGGTGACGTGGCGCGCCACCCATCCCCTGCATGTCTCACCGGATACGTTCTAGACCTGCTTTGTCGCCGCTGCGCCGCTCTCGAGTGACGTGGCCGGCACCGCGGCATTTTCACCATTGGTCCTGTCGCAGCGTCGTGTCAGCCGACACGGGATCTCCGAGGGCCCAACACGTCACGATCGCCGAGGAGGAGGAGAGACCTGCGACGCGGAATCCTACTACGGTGATGCCGGTGCGTCAAGGCAAGGGAGGTGTTGGTTGAGGGGTCGATGAAGAGGTGAGATTCCAAGGGCAGGATGCCGATAGGGCCCCCATCGCATGAACCGCCAGCCACCAAGTCTGGTGGAGTGGGCTGTGTATCGGATCGGCGTCGACAGCCAGGCCAACAGTTGGATCAACCGGCAGGGGGAGCGTCTAATAAGAGCACGAAGGGGAGAGGGAGGGTCGGTTAGAGGCAAGAAGCCGGTCAACGGCCTGAGGCCAGCTGGGGGGGGGTAGCGAGAGAAGAGGATGGAGTAGAAGACAGAAAGGAAGAGACGGCGAGGGAGATCGAGGAGCAGCGGGCTTTTTATATCCGGGCCAAGCGGCGGGAGGCCGCGTTGCCCGATCGGGCGAGGCTAAACCGGAAGAGGCAGCGCACCGGCAGCCAGACTACCTCTTTCCCCCCTAATTTCACAACGGTTGTAAGATTAGGGCCACCCTATTCTTATAACAGCCCAAATTGGGGCATAGGGTTACCCTATTAAGTAGTAGGGCTTCCCAATAGAGCTAGCTTTAAAAACCTTAACTTTTACTACTGCCCTGTGAATGGGTGTTTTGTCAGGAACAATACATTACAATCTGTGCCCTGCAGGATGAACCCTCAAATAGCGCCACAGATTCCGCGAATTGGAGCTTCAGAGTTCATATCTGCTAACAATTTGTTAGCAAATTTGAACACTGCGGTTTCTAACTCGGCATATCAGGCATATGAATCAGGAATCTATAGGAATCAGTTCAGCAGAGTCCTACCCGAACCCGACAGGTTAGGCATCCTATCTGACCCCTTTGAAAACGATCGCGATCTATTTGACGACGACTTTGACCATGACAACATTAATGACAAGCTCGTTGATGACGAAATCGAGAATTTAATAAAAGATGGCTAGCAATTAGCTATCTCTAGCTATGTTATTAAATGACTATAGTTGAGGGCGAGCTCAGAAAATCCGTACAAAAATCAACGGCCCTAGAGAGTATTTGCTCCTGATAGAGAATATCCGGATGACGAACAAGAATAAGAGGAATAAGAGGGGTTTACAGATCCAGTTATTTAGTCTATTTCTGATATTTCACCTCCTCTGACCAATTTATTCAAATCTCGAGAAGAAGCTCTATAGTTTATTCAAGAATGGGCCTAAAGGTATGGCTATACGTTGAGAATTCGTACTTCAAAGAAGTGACAGAAAGGTAATATTCATCTCTATTCTATCTACTTTAAATATAATTATGCAGGTAAGAATAAGCCCTATATAAAAGTCAATAGTAAGCAGCTTCGAAAGAGCTTTTTAAGGCGATAAGAATATCTATTTTGTTATATAATTAGGCAGTTAAAAAAGGAGCCGAATAGCTTATAAAGAATATAGCATTGTAAAGCACCTTATAATAAGCATAACTATAGTTTATCTCATCTCTTTACTGCCCATCCTATCCACTATCGAAATACGAGAAATAATAAGCCAAAGCTCCTTAATCAGATTCAGAATAATAAGCTGGCCTGAATATCTGTAAGAGATACCCTTGCCTCTGTACGAAAACAGTTTCCTAAGGCCCCCTTAACCCTTTAAGACATTAAGAACGTCTATAACAACTTCAAGAAGACGTTGAATCGCGGTTTACTAGCTATCTAAGCTATAATATCAAAGCTTAGTGATGAGTTTCAATTTTACTATATTCTTAATAACTATGAATGCTTAGAGAGGGTTCTTTTCTTTCATAATGCCTCTTTATAGCTTTTACGCCTGTTTCTGAAGAGCTATATACTTAATGTTATCTATAAGACTAATTGATTTAATCTACTGTTACTAGATATTATTAGTTTTATAGCAATAAATAAGTTATTTATTATAGACTAGGTATTTCTAACGTATAATTATAAGAAGAATTATATTTAGGTTTTGTAATAGATTCGAGATATCTATAAGAAATATAAGCTACTTATACCAGAGTTAATTATAATAGACAAGGCTAGAGGTCTTTATAACGCCTGCAGTATTATATAGCCTAAAGTACCTTATCTTCTTTGTTATTAGTATATTAATAAGGACGTTAGAAGCTATTATTAGAAGGAATAGCTTAAAATAACCGCCCTAAATATTATAAATAAAGCTCAGAAAGCTATAATTAATTAGTGTGTTAGCAAATTTCTTAAAGTTTAGTCGCAGCTACTATATATACTAATAAAGGCTGAATATGATCGAATTTAGGGTATTTTATAGCGTTAATTTTGCAATTCTTAGCCTTAAATTCTTAGTTATCTCATCTAAACTTAGCTTCTTTTTAAGGAAACCTTTATTCGTGTGTAAACTAACAAAATTAGGCACTATAGTAACGTTAATAGCTTAAGAGCAGAGGGGGTCTATTAGGCTATTAAGCGTTATATAGGGTTAAGATAAATATATCTTAATAATGTTATAGATTATCTATTGATATATCTTGATCTATATAATAAATAGCTTTAAGAAGAGCTTAAATATAACTAACAGAAGAAGAGAACTAATCTTTAAAATCTACTCTATCGCAAGCTTTATGGCTATATAAGCTATTACATAATTGATCAGATTAAAGATTATTACAGATCTCATAATTTACAGCTCAGAAATTCCTATATGCCTCTTGCTTCTTATAAGCAACTTTTTATGACTACAAAGGGCCTGCCCTGTGCTTATCTTCTATAGTAACGAATAATTAAGCATTAACCTCTTAAGATAGCAGATTTTAACGTTTAGTAGAAAATCAACTGTCTAGGAGAATTAGCTGAGCTTCCTCTTATTCAAATGATTACTGATCCTCTAACCGTCAGAACTCGATATACGAAGTTACAAAAGCGTTAGCTATCTCTGTTTAAGGTTATTCAAGAGCAGGTTAACTCTTTGGCCATAGCTTCGTCAAAAAAGGGCAAACGTAAGGCAAATTCATCTCTATAGCAATGATGTTAACCGCCTCTCAAGATTATTTGCCTTAAATAAGAAGATAGCTTAAAACTGAGTACTATTTTAAGGCCAATTAATATTAACGAAATAGCTATTAATAATAATCAAGAGAAGGAGATTAATAGTAATAATGACCCTCTTAAGGCAGAGCTATAATGTTAACGCAAACAGCCTCTGCAACCTAGTATTCAGATACAGAGGTGGATTAAGTATTAACTATTATATCCTAAAACAGCTAATTCTCCTTATCCTATATAGAAAAAAGTAATAATAACACCTCCTCCTTTCTCTGAAATCCGATCGCCATCGTCATTCGCTAGCCTCGATCTTACACTATAGCCATCACCCACCCCCCTGCCCTTTACGCCCTCTCCTCTTTACTACGCCTCTGCCTTATTCCCTCTACCTCCTCTGCCTCCTCTTGATAAAGCAACCCAGTCTATACAGGCCATAGCATCGCCAATGACCTCCCTAATCAAGGCAAGGCCGCAAAGAGAGATATAACAGCTATAGAGATATCGAGATACATGAGAAATAGCCTACTGCGGCCTGCGTCGAATAAGCTACAAATTCGGAGGAAATGGCTTGAAATCGAAGAAAAAAAAAGCTCAGAATACTGCAAATCGAGGAGTTTGCAAAACCAGCATCTGATTACGTAAGCAGTTGACTGCGTACAGAGCGAAATTTCGCGCGCAAGGCAACATAGGAATGGTCAAAATTTGGTGACAGAATGTAGTGTAATTTGGCTGTAGATGTGGTGAATTTGTGCCATTTATGAATTTCCCTTCTTACACACACCAAGCAGGATCCTCAGTCTAAAATTCTTACTTTGTGAGTAGAAAATGATCACCGAGTCCCAGCTCAATGCTTGGTGTGGCGAAATTTGGCTGTACTTCACACAGTAGAACTTAGCCACTAAAGACTTGGCGGGGAACTGCTCTTACTAATTTGGGCTGTTGTAAGAATAGGGTGGCCCTAATCTTACAACCGTTGTGAAATTAGGGAACCCCCGTTGTAAGAATAGGGGACCCCCCTCTTTCCCGAGGAGGTTTGTAGAGAGATCAATACCAAATCATCGTCCCACCTTTTGAAGTCCTATTTTCGGACCCGCTTCGTCATGCTCGATCGGTATAGCCTCGAAAACCTCCTTCAAGTTCGAGTCACACAGTGTTTGGGCCTTCGTTGCACACTCTTGAGATCTGCGTCGACCACCTGACCGACGAACCTCCACTGTTCAATCCTGGCATGTGGGATTGCGATATAGAATCTGAGCGAGCCACCGTGAACGAGGCGGACTATAATTGCAAGCTGCCTTCCACTAGAGGAATTCCATATATCCTTTGGGTTAAACAGACGTCCAATCAATCCAGTCATGCTAGCTCTCCCAGAAATCTGCTCGGATCAACTTCAGTCCCGCCTAACCAGTCTCAACACTCCAACGCTCGCAATTGATCCTGATACTGGAGGAAATTCAGATATTTGGGTAAGGAATCTTATCGGCTTTATCACACTTTTCCCGAAAGTGGAACGACTTGGCTTGTCTTTTGACACCTGTGTTGAGCTGCAAGAGTCTCGTGCATTATGCGAAGCCTTACGCCTACAACGTCGCAGTATCAGTTCCGCAATCCGAATGTCAAGTCAAATTCAGGCTGCACACCTATGGGAGGTATCTATCAAGTCGCGTTGTCTGCCGACAGTCTTTGGCAGACAGACAGGCAGAAATCTCTGTTCAATTGGTCCGTTGCACGAATTCTGGAGTTTTCTTGCAAACTTCCGCAAAATGCTGGTCAATTCTCATTCGCCCGAACAGTCTGTACTTTGCCGCAGCCAGGTCAGCAGCACTTCCTGGGTTTCCTGACGGTTGACTAATCTCATAAACTCACAGAAGATCCGAAGCAACTCCTTTAGATCCTTTAGTAGACTTGGGTTGGCCCTCCTTCTTGGCATTGGATGCCTCTTTATTATTGTCTCCTGGACCATGGAATGGCTTGTTGAACGGTACTCAAAACGCACGAGTCGTGGCACGTACCAGCGGCTCGAATGGACTGTCAACAACACACTACAACTGCAACGAATGGTGCACGAAGATGTTGGTCTCGGAACCTGGAGCAAGACCACAGAAGACTACCCCATAACATTGCCTGGTGAGCATCTAGCTACCGTCGATATCTCTGAACCGGAACATCCCAAACTCAAACCCCCCGTCACCAAGTCTGAAGCTTCTCCGGATTATCTGAGTTCGAGTCAAGCAAGTGCAACAACAACTATTCAACGCGATACACACACGGCTGGCTTCGATCACGCAACTCTGATCCGGACTCTATCTCACCATTGATTGAGTTGACATCTCCGACCAGTGATGGCCAAAGCCGTCTGACTGTCAAGAAATCAACGACACTCTAGCGCTTGCAGATACACACGACCAGAGTGGTGATCCTCGGGGATTCTTGGCGCTCTTTTAGCTCCATTGATAGCTATTGATGACAAGGAGGCTAGGGGCTCTTGGGTGCCTCTTTTAGGCGTTGATTCAACCGGAATAGAATGAAATTTCAGATCAAAAGAGAAGTTAACAGAGATATGTGACCATATCTCGAGGTCGAAAGACAGCTCTTGCCCCTTACGAACGCGATGCTATTGAAACGGTTGAAAACTCCTCATTTCGCTTTGGAGCTGCTACTCATTATTCAGTAGCAAGCCAGTCCACCTCTCTGGTCCGCTCCAAGGGCTCCTCGACAGCTGAAGAAGGACTCCGGCCTCGTCTACATCGCTCAAAATGCAGCTCGCCATCCTAACAGTCCGCTTGAACCTCTATTTCGCACTTTGTACATCGCAAATTCTTCCTTCGACATCCGCTCGGTTGATGTCGTGACCGACCGAAACAATATTCGTAAACTCCTCTCATTTGTCAACCCCGACTCAACTAGAAACGGACTTGAAAAATTCACCATCAGCATCGAGGTCACGAAAAACACTGCAATATTCTCTCGCGCGGAGACTGCGACCCACGAGGTTATCGGACTACATGAATTTAGGGGCTTTGGTCACGAATTCGAGAAGGTATACACTACTAGTCAGATCAGTGACAGTACTGGACATCACGGAATTCTCTCATACCGCTTCAGTGATCTGAACTTCATCGTTCGCCATGAAACGAACGGATATGTAGACGCTGGTACAAGAATACCTTCTTCCAATAAGTAGTCCATCAGATCTCAAAGATCCTCTACTGCCCGCCTGTCTAGGTTGCCTTCCTGCACTCTTCTTGGATTATTTTTCTAATAGGTCGTCACCAATAATGGGGCCCTTATGGTTCTCAGTCAGTCTTTTGCTCCCTTTCCAATTTTGACAAGTATAATGTGGATTTGCTTACCGCAAAGACAATAGACCTGTAAAGTATGAACCACTCTCCAGCCTCATTTCTGTACCAACTGTCCCGAAATTCTCCCAGTCTGACGCCAGTCTGCCAATCCAGATTAATACGTAGAACAGTATAGATGATTGTTTTTGGAATCATCTCTCGCGTACCTTTCCCACCAACATGTCTTTACCCAGGTAGCATGGCCAACCAGGTGCTAAGCTGAATGGCCGCTATACAACTCTTACATTCAATTAAGCCTGCTGCGCTGTCACCATTCCCAAGATGCCAGCCAAGCGCAGTTGCTAAGTTCATCCGGAACAAGCCAGCATACCCTGCACAAGACTGAGATAGGACTTTGCCCATTAAGCTACTGTCAAACGGAGGAAGATCTTTGGATACCAAGCTCTTCGAATTGAAATCTATGTCTATGGAAGGCCTATTGTTACACAAATCGTACGCTGTCAGTTCCGTACAAACAGTACATAAAACAGCGACAGTAATGTGACACAGAGCTTGTAACCGGCTTCGTACCAGAGCTTGTAAGAAGCCGTGTAACAGTGCTCGTTTGACAGCTACGCAAGGACGAATGCCAAGTCCAACTCCCAGCCTTCCAGTCGGACAAGACTCACCAAGAGCTTTCAGGATTGCTAAAACTTTTCCATCGAGTATTTCCGTGATGGACAAAGTCAAGTTTCTGGAAATTGGCAAGCATTACTCCATCCACAGAAAGCGACCGCTAACAGGAGACGCGCTCCAGCAGCCAACGCTTGGCAAGTTAAGACTACTACCTGGGATGGGATTTTGGAGGTCAGTGGTTTCAAGAGCAGCAATGACTGACATCACTAATAAATCGTAGAGGCGTGATCCTCCGCAAGCACAACTTATGTAGGCCAGAAGCATGTGAATCAGCAATGTTGCGCTGATCAGAAGATGCAGCTTCACATCTTTAAGGGCAGTAGCAAACGCCCCAGACGGACTTCGGGGTCACATCTTGAGTAAATTCAAAATTCCGCCTTTCCTACTTAGCAGAGCATGTCTTGAGTCGAATGGCTTCTCCGGCTGTGAGCCTGTGCTTGATCACGATGGTAATCTTGCACATTATAGTAGGTCCTAATAATTCCGTTAGAATGAACATCGTTCAAGCTTTTTCTATAGATCACTGGTCTCGCTTCGTTGTCAAACAAACGCACAACAAATTGCGCCCAAAACGCAGCTTCACCCGACACCCTGTGACTTGGGAGAAGCTAGATATGGAAAAAGGCCGCCTCCCGAATCCAACCATTCCAATCCATGGCCCAAGATCGATTCAGCATGGTTGGGAATGGTATGAGATGTGCTTTTTTGTCCACTGGGCACCTCTCAGTACAACAATATTATGTTTCGATCTTCCAGAACCCCTGCAGAAAACAGTCCAGTCAGCATTGGCATCGAACACGGACAAGATTAATTTCTCTGATCCGTATTCTGTCTTCTCAGTCCTCTTCTACGAATTACTTTCCCTCTACGACAGCTCGGTCTGGTCGATAAGAAACCACATCTGTGATTGGGAGTCAGTGTGTTTAAACTACAACCTCTGATATGTTAATTGTTGACTAACTATAGTAGTCACGGCCGCAAGAGCCCGATTATCCTCTACTACACGAAATTGCAAGGCATGTGATCCACGTCTGTGAAACGCTGGCCGTAGCATCAGAGTGTGTCAAGGACCTCAAGCAGCAACAACAAGACTTTATGGCCGCGCACCCTCAAAACGATATCTCCTGGAGCTGGGCCCAAAGCCCTTTTCAGTTCCCGCTGCGAATGCTTCAGAGCCTCCTTTCACGATCTGAATCGAATAAGGCGCGGGTACATAATGAAATCACGCTGGTAAGTTATAAATGGCGCACCTGTGCAAAGTATCCACACAGCGAGGTAGTAGGAGAATGTTGTCCTAGGAGGTCGGCAATGTCCAAGAGGCAAATATCCTGAGATTAGCAATTTGGATGGGCAGGTGAACGTTCCTACCGTTTGATCAAGAATGTCTGCAGTTGGACACCGCCTTAGAAGGCGGCAGAGCTGTCACGGTAGATTTCACACTGCGCGGAAGCCTTGCGCACTGGTGCCGTACATCCTCAGTGAGGCCGCGAGCTGACCTCCGATTTGCTAGGCCTTCCACACCGCAGCGCAACGAGATAGCAAAATCCAGGTACGAATTGGAGAAGAAGCGAAGAAGGAGACCACGGCGATGAAGGCGATTGCGGTCGTCACGATGACCTTCTTGCCTGCTACTTTCGTCTCGGTAAGCTTGCTTCGTCCAATGCGCGTATAAGACCCGATGTTGACTATTTTGCCTCCCAAGTCAATTTTCAGCATGTCGTTCTTCCACTTCGAGCCCTCTCAGCGGGGTGAGAGGGACATCTTCATCGTGTCTGATAAGTTCTGGATGTATTGGGTCCTCGCAGGGCCATTGTCTATCACTGTACTTAGTTTATGGATTTTCTGGGAGAGGATGTTGGGCAAAAAGCATTAAGATTAACTAGCGATCTAAAACTTGAGAAATTATTCTGGTTTTATTATTATGTATGCCGAAGCGCATGCCAAGATATATGCCTAAACCCAGAGCCGCTACAATCAGCTACAGCGACAGATCGCACGCCGAGGAGCCTGCTTCCTGTAAAACGTATCGATTGTACAGGTGAATGTTTATTTCTTGCCAATAAAGTCACAATCAACTCTTCACGCCTCTAAGCCTGTGGCGATATTAGCGTAAGGCTGCTGACTTCCTTGTCTCATGCCCTAACTATAGCAATCCCGCTAACTGAGGAAGATGAGACGCATGTTACAATCTTTACGCGATAGCGAGTTCCCTCTAGCCTGCCTTGCCTTAACTCTTCTCTAAAATACCTCTCTAACGCAATGGATGTCGCTCGATACTCTATTGGATGGATAGCCCCGTTACCGTTGGAGCTGATAGCTGCGAAAGCTGTTTTAGATGAAGATTATGGCGACATCCACGTCGACGGTTACATCTATCATGGAGGAAAAATAGGACAGCACAACATAGTGATGGCTGTACAACCAAAAATGGGCAACGATGCAGCTTCGGACCTTGCTGCCAGGATGCGTGCTGCCTTCAGGAATATTGAGTATTTCATGGTTGTTGGGATAGGAGGTGGAGTCCCCAGCTATGGTCCCTCTGGTGCGCCGTCTGAGATCGTACTCGGAGATGTAGTGGTCAGCTATCCGAGAGGTAATTACGGCGGCGTCGTTCGGTTCGATTTTGGAGCGTGGACTGACAAAGGTCAGCTTAAAATGAGTGGGCATACAAACAGTCCACCCGACTCTCTCCTTGCTGCCGTTACCAATCTTCAGACTAGGCACTCTACGGGATCTGGAACGAGGATACCGGCCTTCTTGCGGGAGATGCGGTTGAAAATACATGTCCTTGAGCGACAAAAATTCAAAGACCCAGGTGCTGAACAGGACAGACTATTCCGGAAGGATTGCTTTCATCCTAAAGAGTCCCTGAATCAAGATTGTGAGAATTGCTGCGACTTAAGTCGATCCGAGATGCGCCATTGTCGAGGAATCGAAGCTGTCAGACAGGTGGACACTCCAAAGATTCACTACGGCAACATAGGCTCAAGCAATCAGCTCCAGATCTCAGCACACAAAAGGGACCGACTTCACAAGGAACTTGGAGTGATCTGTTTTGAAATGGAGGGTGCTGGTGTTATCCACAAACACCCTTGTCTGGTGATTCGTGGAATCTGTGACTATTCAGACTCTCATAAGAGCAAACAGTGGCAACCTTATGCTGCGGCAACGGCAGCTGCATACACGAAGGAACTCCTGGAGACCATGCCTGCAAGCAACTACAAAGACAAAGACAACGACAAAGATAACGACAAAGACAATCAATGCTTGAAAGACTGGCGATCAACTGATCCTCGCGATGACAAGATCAGGATTGAGCTGAGCAAAGACGATCTTCTGAAAGAGTCATACACGTGGATTCTTGAAGATCCAGCTTTTATAGGCTGGCGCGATAATGATGATACACAGCTACTTTGGATTAAAGGTGATCCAGGCAAAGGCAAGACCATGTTGATGATCGGCATCATTAATGAGCTATCAAAACAATTAGAGTCGACCCCTGGGTCGGGCGTACTGTCTTACTTCTTCTGTCAGGCGACCGAACCTAAACTGAATAACGCAGTTTCTGTTATTAGGGCCCTGATCTACCTGCTAGTTGATCAGCAAAGGGCTCTTATCCGGCATCTGAGAAAGAGGTACGACACTTCAGGAAAATCATTGTTCGAAGGTCCCAATGCATTCGCTGCTTTATCGGCCATCCTCTCAGATATGTTACATGATCCCAGTCTTGCACGAGTGTACCTGATGGTAGATGCTCTCGATGAATGCAGTTCCGAGTTATGTCTACTCTTGCGACTCATCGCCCGCAATACTTCCGAAGCATGTAAGGTCAAGTGGCTTGTGTCAAGCCGTAACAGGCCTGATATTGAGAAGCTGCTGAGATCCGCGGGATCCCGCGCTAAAATCAGCCTTGAATTGAACTCGAGCCATATCTCACGCGCCGTCAATGCATTCATCGACTTTAAGGTCTCGAAGTTAACGGAGATGAACAGATACAAGGCTGAGGTGCAGACAACAATCAGAAATTATCTGTATGAAAAGGCGGATGGCACCTTTCTCTGGGTGGCTTTGGTCTGCAAAGCTCTCCACGGTGTACGGGTTGGAAAGGCACTATCTGCCCTCGAAAAATTTCCTGCTGGCTTACAGCCACTCTATGAGCGAATGATGGAGCAAATCCGCTGCATTGAAGATAGCGATGACGTTGAATCCTGCATACGTATTCTTTCCTCGGCTACACTGGCATATCGCCCCATCCATCTCAAAGAGCTGGTTGCCATTGCTGGCCTTCAAGAAGACCCTGACGATGTACAGTCATTGAATGAGTTGGTGGATTTATGTGGTTCGTTCCTCACAATCCGTGAAGACACTGTCTATTTCATACACCAGTCAGCAAAAGATTACTTTAGCACCGGCAAGGGTGCCCAGATTTTCCCTTCGGGCCAAGTAGAGGAGCATCGAGAAATGGCGCTGCGAGCTTTACAAGTCATGAATGATGCATTGAAAAGAGACATATGCAAGCTTCGGGTGCCCGGGGCTCTCTTGGACGAGGTGCGTGATATTAACCGGGACTGTCTGGCCTATCTCCGGTATGCCTGCTGCTACTGGGTCAGCCATCTGCGTGATGCTGGCCATCTTCTACATGAAAAGCTCGACCTGTATGACGATGGAACAATCCATGTGTTTCTGAGGAAGCACTTTCTTCACTGGCTTGAAGCTCTTGGCTTGCTAGGGAATATTTCTGACGGGGTCGCCATGATCAGAACTCTGGAAGAATTCCTGATAGTAAGTAATCGTATCAACCATAGTATGAAGTTTTAGCTAATCTTGTAAAGCGTAAATCGGATAAGGCCGAACTTTTGCTTGCTATGATCCAAGATGCGAAGCGCTTTATTCTTTACAATCGATGGATTATTGAGAAGGCACCACTTCAGGTGTATGCATCTGCACTTGTGTTTGCTCCGAAGAAGAGTATAATAAGAGACCAGTTCTCTAATCTAGGGCCATCATGCATAATAACTGGCCCAGCGACGGACGAGAATTGGAGTCAATGTTTACAGACGCTCGAGGGTCACAGCGACATCGTCAGCTCCGTAACTTTCTCGGCCGACGGCCGGCGGCTGGCGTCGGCGTCCGAGGACGGCACAGTGCGGCTCTGGGATAGCGAAACAGGCGCGCTGCAGCAGACGCTCAAGGGCCACAGCGGTCCTGTCCGGTCGGCCGGCGGCTAGCATCGTCGTCTAAGGATCACACGGTGCGGCTCTGGGATAGCGAGACAGGCGTGCTGCAACAGACGCTCGAGGGTCACAGCGAGACTGTTAGCTCTGTGGCCTTCTCGGCCGACGGCTGGTGGCTGGCGTCGGCGTCCCACGACCGCACGGTGCGGCTTTGGGATAGCGAGACAGGCGTGCTGCAACAGACGCTCGAGGGTCATAGCGACATCCGGCGGCTAGCATCGTCGTCTAAGGATCACACGGTGCGGCTCTGGGATAGCGAGACAGGCGTGCTGCAACAGACGCTCGAGGGTCACAGCGAGACTGTTAGCTCTGTGGCCTTCTCGGCCGACGGCTGGTGGCTGGCGTCGGCGTCCCACGACCGCACGGTGCGGCTTTGGGATAGCGAGACGGGCGCGCTGCAGCAGACGCTTGAGGGCCACGCCGGTGGGGTCTGGTCCGTAGCTTTCTCGGCCGACGGCCGGCGGCTGGCGTCAGCATCTAACGACCGCATAGTGCGGCTCTGGGATAGCAAAACGGGCGCGCTGCAGCAGATGCTTAAAGGCCACAACGATTGGGTCAGCTCTGTGGCCTTCTCGGCTGACGGCCGGCGGCTGGCGTCGGCATCTGAGGACGGCATAATACAGCTCTGGGATAGCGAGACGGGCGCGCTGCAGCAGACGCTCGAGGGCCACAGCGATCAGGTCAGCTCTGTGGCCTTCTCAGCCGACGGCCGGCGGCTAGCGTCGTCGTCCTACGACCGCACAGTGCGGCTCTGGGATGGCGAAACAGGTGCACTACAACAGACGCTTAAGGGCCGCAGCGCGACTAGCGTCGACGTCCCACGACCGCACAGTGCGGCTCTGGGATGGCGAAACAGGTGCACTACAACAGACGCTTAAGGGCCGCAGCGGTTGGGTCAGCTCTGTGGCCTTCTCGGCCGACGGCCAACGGCTGGCGTCGGCATCTGAGGACGGCATAATACAGCTCTGGGATAGCGAGACGGGCGCGCTGCAGCAGACGCTCGAGGGCCACAACAATCGAGAGTTTACTCCGTGGCCTTCTCGGCCGACGGCCGGCGGCTGGCGTCAGGGTCTACCGACGGCACAGTGCGGCTCTGGGATAGCGAAACGGGCGCGCTACAGCAGACGCTCGAGGGCCACAGGCCGGCGGCTGGCGTCGGGGTCTACCGACGGCACAGTGCAGCTCTGGGATGGTGAGACGGGCGCGCTGCAGCAGACGCTCGAGGGCCACAGCGATCAGGTCAGCTCTGTGGCCTTCTCAGCCGACGGCCGGCGGCTAGCGTCGTCGTCCTACGACCGCACAGTGCGGCTCTGGGATGGCGAGACGGGCGCACTGCAGCAGACGCTCGAAATTGGTTCTTATCTCTATCAGCTATCATTTAGTCCTGATGGACTGCATCTTATTACAGCTTTAGGCGTTATTTCTTTACATTATTCTCTATCAGTTATTCCTCAAACACCTATCTGGTCAGGATATTGTGTTCGTGCTGATAGTTCTTGGATCACTACGAATGGTACTGATATTCTTTGGATTCCTTTTGAATATCGACCACGTTTTTCTATCGTTCGAAAACAGACAGTTATTATTGGATGCTTTTCAGGTCGAATTCTTGTAATAAAGTTTGATTCCTAACTTCCTTTGGTTTAGAGATACGTTTTTCTAATTACTGGATACTATAAACAAATTGCTCCCACTGCTGTTTCTACTTTTGATTATAGACTCTACTAAACATGGTATTTTAGTTAAGAAACTTATAGGTAGAAGGGTCTGGGAGAACTCATAAATTTAAAGCATTTCTGTCTATTATTCTAGCTTCTCCTAGACTGATGTAATCGACACAGGGTAAATTTCTACTAGCAGTGCAGGTATTAAGCTAGCTCAAATATCTACTGCAACCAATCAAGTCGAAGAAGACAGAGTCAACCACTAAAGCAATGTACATAGTATTTGCGTCAACTAGCTCGCTGTCGCTCTACTTGCTATCGTTGTCGCACAGGCATAGACGCCTCCTTGCCCTTCCTTATTGCTGTTAAGCAAAAGAACGCAGAATTGGGGCATAGCTGTTATATCGAAGGATCTGCACACCCTGAACGTGGTGCTTTCCACAGCGACGATGTACTTTGTCACCACATTACAAAGATATATCTATTTCACTAATTGCTCTCAGGTTATATCTATGATTAGCCCTCTGCAGAGTGCTATACGTTGCATCTCTTCCGTCAGAAATCCTACGATCAACAATCCCTTAGTTCTAACACGCTCTTTATGTACGTCTCGCAGGCGTTTTGTAGGCGTTCTTTAGGTCCCGCAGAAGTAAGTGAGATGAAACGGGCATCCAGCCTGTAGGAGGAATCGACTTGCATCCATTGGTCAACTACAGGTGCAGCCTTGCCAACTCATGAGCCAGACTCGAAAGGAGCGATGATTTAGCACTATTGTTGGATGAGGAATATTTTCAGATACTTCTTGACCGGTTTCCCGATAGCCAATTAGGTGAGGAGCAGTAACCAATGTTTGGGTCGTTAGCGCAGACATCGGTCCCCACTCGACATCTCATTGGTGGGTGCTTTTTACAGCCGTCTTGAAGGGGCGCTGTTTCCGGACCCTGAAGAGAGTTCCCTTTTCTAGGCCCTTTGTATTTATAGAAGATCCCTATCAAATGAGCTTTTCGATACGTCCGTTCCTAGAAACGCAATGATTTCTTTTGCCTATAAAACGGATGGGACAACACACAGCAATGCTGTTAACATTTACAGCATCATCACGTCTGATTTACTGATCGTTATCACATACATATACAGCTCCTATTCTGCTATTACATAAAAGAGAATGCTGCGAGTCAAGATAGCTAGGCCGCGCCTATTAAGACCAATACAACAGGTCAGACGTGCGGAACTGTTTGCTTGCGGAAGTGTGCTATACCAGATCTATAACGGTATTGTATCGTCAAGACTAGTGCCTTTGCTTAAGTATAAGTATTGTTAGCTTGCTCTAGTAACAGCTTATAAATGCCAAGATAGAAGAAATATCATTTCAGAAGCCTGCGTTGCCAGTTTGCTATTAATTAACCTAATCTAACGATATAAATAACTTAATTAAAGTTTTGAATCTTTAAGAGATTAAATTTAGTTTTTTTAAATTATATTTTAAACATATTTATA